TTTCGCCAAAAATTCCACGAATATCTTTCCCCAACCAACGTTTTCGCCGGACTTAGTATCATGTGACTTCTGGCTCTGCCAAAAACTCAAGAGACCACTTCGATGACACCGTTTTGAGTCGATTGCGGAGATTAAACGTGAATCGGCGCGTGAAAGGTTTATTGAATCAATTAAATGTACGAGTATAATTTGGTAATTTTAATACCTTACGCCTACAATTTATATTAGATCGAGGATTTCTGTTAGATCTACAGTTTCTGTTAAATCTATAGTTTCTGTAAGAGATACCGTCGGTGGCATTTCGGTTTTCCTATAATGTATTATTATTAAATTTTTCTATATTCCTGTAAGCTATACGTATTTTCAATCGTTCTATGGTTGCAACAACAACAACAACGCCACCAAACTACAACCACAAAACAATTTCTCGCTAACAGCATGTGCCCATGTTGTCGAGGACATAAATTTGAAATTCTCACATTCACAAAAAGAGTGATAAATGTCGACGGACGGAAACATAGCAGTGACATAAACCACTTGCTCGTCGTTGAGCAGCAGGAAAATAAGTACGAATGGAAAGTGAAATTTAAAGCTATGGAGTAAAATATCTTCTTTCTATGTACATATGTATATACTTCTCATATTAAAATTGTATATATATATGTGTGTATCTATGTGTGTATATCTACTTGAGTAAATGTGATTCTGTGGTTAATTTAGTGACACATGCCAAAGTGACATTAATGACACCCGCTTCATGGGAGCAACGGTAGTGACCTGCAATGAGCAGCTAATATACATACACTCATACAAATGTATATGCATAAAATGGATAGTATATGTATGTATGAATGTGCACATACAAATATGCTAAATAACAAACAGCTGAGCTGAGCTGAGCTGAGCATGTTGCACAGTGAAAACAGCTAATTTCACACAAATTCATAACAAATCGTCGACAATTTTTCCAGCTACTTTTACCGCTACTTTCTGCTTCTTCATTTCCTAGAGCTTCACTTTGATAGCATTTTGAAATGATGTTGGTGGCTGTTGCAACAAACTGAGCGACAACATGTGGAAAAGCAATAAATTTTAAATGCACTTGAATGTGTATCTGTCGTATGTATATATGTAGGTATGTGTGTACATATATACGTCTGCATTTGATCATAAGTGTGGGAGCATGCAAGTCTGTGCTCTCGAAAACTGAAGTGTTGAAGTAGAAAAATGTATTGGTTTGACATTTTTTACTTTAGCGAACGTTCACCACCTATTTCCCCCCCTTCATATACATATACATAAATATAATATACATAATACATACAAGCACACACATATATGTATATTTGAATATATGTACATATGTATGTATGTTTGTATTTTATTTTCTAAGCAATAAATTTTTAAGAGCGTAACGAAATTGATTAGATTGTAAATTTATTATTTGTCAATTGATAATTTGTTAATTAACGTAAAGGTGGGTGGCGGGTAGTGGTAGGGGGGAGTGAGGAGCAAGCACAACCACAAAGGTCATTAAATTTTATGGCTCATTTACTAAAGGGCAACAAAGAATAATAGATACTATTAAATGGCGTAAAGTTGTACTAGTCTTCGATTGGCGCTCTCACGGAAAACTTTTCTTTTTTTCTTGGGAAAAGTGCAGAAATATTGTTCCAGGCTAATAATAAGCCTTAAAATTTTCATCAAACCATAGTTTTTGTTAAATTTCTGTAATTCCCATTTTTTCTGATCTAAAATACTTTACCCTTTTTCAGACAGAAGTTTAATAAGATTTGTTTTGTAAGAGAAAGACCTCCATAATTGAATTTTTTTGAGTTGCTCGATAGTTAACGTAATTTTGGCACAATTTTCAATGCCGATTTTTTTTTTAATTAAGACTTTTCGCATTTTTTGAGAAATTTACAAATTATTTTTTCGAAGTTGGAGAACTTTTTCAACTTGAGCTAAAAAAATTAGTACGTATGTCGCTTTAAGTAAGTCAGAGTATTTGAGATTTCATTAATTTAGGAGTCACAATGGACCCCAAGCTAGATTTTAGAAATAGTGGATCTAAGCAACCCATTCAAATCATATAGACATTGTGTTCTTAAAAATCCAATTTTGAAATGTACAACACTTTTAGTTGTTCGCCCAATGAATTTCATATCCATTCCGCCAGCCTTAATTCCTCTCACTCTCTTTTCTGTAACAAACACTGTAGCTGTTTAGTGTCGGAAACAAATGTGACTCTGACCTACGACGCTTGATTTCGGTTTGAAGGCAGTGAGGACTAACATTGGTTTCTGTTGGATTTTTGTTTATTCTTCAGAAAGCTTTAACAATCAAGATGTTTTGAAGAGAGCAAAAGAATTGGTAATCCGATTTTGCTAAGTCAAATAGCTCTATCAAAGAAACATTTCGAAACGCCTTGGCGATTGACCAGTTCAGGGTCTTCTTTTGTGATTTTTACGTTTAGATTTTGTTATTGAGTATGATATGTGGTGGCTTTATACTCTATTATCTTTTACTTTTCCTAGCTTCGAGTTTGAGATGCATCGAGTTCCCAAAATTTCCCAAACGAAAGCGAGCAACCAAACTAGCTGCTATTGGCTTTCAGTAAGGTAGTCCTCATCATAAAACTTTTGAACTTTTTCTGAGCTTTTCTTTTAGGAATTAAACAAAAAAATGTGACGATTGATTTCATTGAACATACACTTTAGCTGGTTCGGTTTGTATCGCTCGACTCAGATATGGACATACTACAGTATATATATATATATATATATATATATATGTATATAACTTCATGGAGTTGATCGATTTTCTCATGCTTGTCCGTCCGTCTGTATATACGATTACTCAGGTAAGAATTTTGGGGTAAAATGTCACTGGTTTTCGGTCACCGGTGTGTTGGATTTTTCGATTATCCCTCCGACGCGATTTTCCTCCGATATAACACACATTTTCTCTTCCACCCACCGGATGGCTTAAGGTCGAACATTTGAGACACCAGTCAAGAGAACTAAATCAAAGCATATTAGGTATGCTACTAAGTTAATGAGGACTAAAGTCCCAACAAAACTGACTGATATAAATTTATGCACAAGATCTTTTATTTAATATTTCTTAAGTCCTTAGGACCGAATATTTAAGGAATTAACGAAAAAAGCTGATCTTACTTGATGGATATGATAGTTAAAGAGAGTCTAAAAATTTTTCTTGAAATATTTGATTTGCGTATAAAAATTTCTTTTTGAAGAAAATTAGATTAGACATTTTTAAAACACTCTCTGAGATACAAAATATTGAAACGACGCTCTGGAATTTTTTTATGAATACCAGATTTTTCATATAGATTTTTAAAACTAAAAACAATACTTTCGAAAAAAAAATTATTATTTTAATTATTTATGACACTCATTTACGTATATGTATGTTGAATATTTGTATGTACTTCGAGCACATAAACTCAAATAGTACGACTATTAGGAAATAAATTTACGACCATACCTTACTGACTAGGATATGAATAAAACTTCATTTAGTCATTGAAAATTGTGATTGTGATTCTCACTTCAACTACATATTTATTATTTCCAATTAGACAAAGAATCATTTTCGCAAATGACTGTTGCTATACGTCTTAATCGATCGAGAGTAAAAAAAATGTATATACCAAAATTGGTGCAATTGTACCCGACCTACAAAATAACGCTCAGCTGGCTTATTTTCATTTGGATTATAATTTGAATTTTCTTTATAAAAACAATACAAAAATGGTTGTTTGTGAAACAAAATTGGTTATTCCGAGGATTCTTTGGTAAATAAATATGTATAATTAGTTAAAAAAAAAGCCTTACAAAACTGAAGATACTCTGAGTTGCTGCTACCAATTAAAGATTATGGACTGAACTGCAAAAGGCGTTTACGAAAACTACTAAAATTTCTAAAAGAAAAAGAGTTTTGAGGATGATTACCAACATCGCGCTCAGTGGAGGAATGGTGTATGCATTATCTTCTGATGACTTAAGCGATGCCAATGAAGAGAAAGACTCGGCAATCCCTACACAATGATCTCTGAACAGGTCGCATGCGAAAGAATAGGCTTCAAATAATTATATAATATAATTTGCCTCTCACAAAATGTCATGGAATACATTTTTATTTAATTGAAAAATATTATTCGCAACAAAAACATTGACTAATTTCACAGTTGGGAGACTGTTGAGTGTATGTTCTGAGTATTTGAGAGCTTTAACTTAATTTCCAATTAAATCTAGCTGTTTATGCACACACTTTTCTCGCTTATATTAATAACAAATCAAAATACTGAATAAACTTGAAAACCATAAAGTTATAAAATTCTCAGTTATTACAAAAAATATATATGTATTAACACAATCAAATTACTGCCATAACTCCGTGCGGCTCCTTTTCGCCAACTCATTGCATTCACACAAGTTTAAATGCATAACTGAATATATATATATATATATATATATATACATACCATATTATTTTCCCAATACATAGCCGTACATTGTATCCTATGAATAAGTATGTATATATCCCACTATTTATGCTTGTAAATGCCCATAAATCCTTTTATGATCCATTTTATCGCCTTTTAAGCAGCCTCTAGTGGCGCGCTCACGCTCAATTATAGAGCAATTTCTCGCGTTCAGTCCAAGTGCACCTACTTACACTTCCAACTCACAACTTACAACACTCAACTACAAACAGCAATAATGTGATTTTTAATGGCCTGAACTATAATGGCGTTGATCATAAAAGCGGCTGCTGTGCTTTGTTGAGCAGCTGGAATTCCTGCGCACACTTTTTGTATATTTTTTTTTTGTAATAAAATAAAAACAAAACAAAAAAATGATTGAATTTTCTTTTTCTCTCAAGTATTTAAAATTAATAGTGGCTAAGTATTTTAGTATTTAAAAAACTTTTCTTAAAACATTAATTTTTTGTATATTTTCTTCTCTACTCTGGTTTATTCTTTTCAGTTTGGGCCGAGACTGGCGATTTTCGTGATAGTCATAATTCCATGACCGCTGTAGCAAATAGTTTGGATAGTACACATTTGAATAATTTTCAAACATCATCATCGTCGGCGTTAACAAATCGAAATCGCGACCGTAAAGATGGTAAGTTTAATTACAAAAAGTTCATCGCTAACTTTCCGTAACATTCTACGGTTACGGTTACATAGTTTTATTATTTAAATAATTTATATTACATGTTCTATAGCTCTGATGTTACTGTTGATGTTATGAAATTTGAAATTAAGGGGTTACATAGGTCTTGAAGGCCAAAAAAAAAGTTTATTTTCTTCAATTTTTTTAACAGTTACTAAATAAATTATACAATCTATTTTGTTTAAATATAAAAGTATAATATGTAGAAAACATTTGTTGAAAACTTGCATGAAAAATAGTATAAGTTAAGGCGTTGGCGGCGTCGTGAAGTAGACCGTCCACAAGAAACTGCTTACCGGGTAGTCATGATAACTTTTTCAATTTTTATCTGAAATCAAAATTCAAATTTTTTTCTTAAATTAGTTGAATTTTCCTTGTTCCTGAACAAAGAAAAATTTAAAATTTAAAAATTGAATATTTTGTAGCGTTTTTTTACAATAAACGTAATTTTTTGCATAAAATTAGGCCACATATTGGCTTGTAAAATAAGTTGAAATCAAAGATAAAATAAATCCTTCGTTCAGCGACTACAAAAACATGCTTAAAAGAAGTGTGGAAAATTTGAACTCGATCGCTTCAATAGTCATGGAGAAATTTTGACTACCGATTTCCATAAAGTGGTTTCAAGAAAAACGCGTTTAAAGCATCGCCATCGGTCAAGTCATGACAAAGATGGCGGTTTATAAAACTCTATAATTTCTACAATTTCGTCTCGATCGACTTGAAATTTGGGGAAAATATTCCTCACATTTTGTACTTTTATACAAATAATTATTAATTTTTTAAAGTTTATGTAACCCCTTAAAGGAACAAAATTATGAAGATCACATGCAAATGTGACTAACTTTGAAACTGACGTACATGTATGTACCCGTATATACATATGTGTGACCACTCACATACTGTAATATGACAATCGTATTTTTGTCAATGACAATTAGTGATTTTATCAGCATAGAAACTACACTAGCCGTAATATTTTTAACAAATATCATTATAATTTAAATCGACTCATTTGACTTTATCATTGCCTTTATAATTATCTATTTTGAAGAATATGTAAATCTTATCATGAGACATTTTTGTCACTCAGTCATATGTCTGGGCCGAACTGGTGATTTTTTCCTAATGCCAAAAACTATTCACATTGACGTTTTCTTCATGAGTCAATTAATTTATAACTTTTATAATATACAAGCATTTCATAACTCACAATTGAGTTCGTCAATTTATCTGTACCAACTGAATTCACCAAATGTTTTAAGACCTTTTTTCTATGATTTATTTGGAGCATGTGAATGTTATTTTCATTTACTGGTCTTTCATATAATTTCCAAGATGTTCAACATCAGATAATGATAATAAATTTTTGGCTGATTGGATGAAAGTGGACACCTAAGCCATTGAGCAGTCTCATGATGCTCGCTCGTGTATCGCAATTGAGCGTTTACTATTTGTATTTGTAATTTGTAGTTTGATCGATTTTATATATTGTCTACATTTCTACCAATCAAGCGTGTCGACCTCCATGAGGTTAGAGCTGGACGGCTTATCGGCTAGAGGCCAGACACTCGCAAGGGTGATGCTCAGCCATTTCACCATTATCTGTGCCTGCTCAGGACGTAGTCGATTCCACTGTAGTTAGCTCATTGAGTTGATATCTCACCCATGAGAATCTTAGGTTCTCATTTGCTTATGGGGTTATATCCATTGCAAAACGAAGTAAATACTTTTCTTTGTTCATTTTATTTAGAGGCATATTATTCTGTAAATTAATAGAGCGAATTTAATGCAGTTTAACAATAAACGATTCATTTTAAAAAATAGTAGTTCCTCTTGTGCCTTTAGCCGATCGCCTGAAGCGCCTCCAAATGAAGGTGTATTGCGGTGAGGAAGATATTTCTGCCCCAAATCATCGGAAACCCGAACGCCAAAAAAATTATTATTAAAATGGATGAATACAGTTAACTATCGCAGGAGTAGCGAAATTTGAATTTTCGACAAAATGGCGGCTTGAAAAAAAATTTATTTATTGTGAGAAATTAATTTTTTAATTTCAAAAAAAAATAATAATAATTTTTTGTGAGAAATTAATTTTTTTGTGAGAAATTCTATACTTCAAAGTGCTTTGAAAAATCTAAGTTATTGCCAAAAATTGTAGTCCTTCGACGATCATCATCTACGACTAACTAATATATCTTAAAAGGGGGACGAGAAAGTTTCAAACCGATCGGTTCAGCCGTTTCAGAGAAATTCTCCTCACCGACTCTCAAAAAGGCGTTTGGAGAATAAGTTGAACTACAACGTCTATTTTCGAACGTCCTTAATGATACGATCATATCTCCGAGACTGTTTCACGAATCAACTTCCGATTTTCGGTAAATCTTTGCAAAAATAAATGCAATCGGGAATTTTCAAAAAAAAAAAAAATGGATTTTTTGAAAATTAGTCGTGTATATGTAACCGCTTAATGCACGTAACGGTTTGGTATGCCTACCAACCATGTTGATCTACAATAGCATGGTTTTCCTCCCTACGTTGATACTCTGTTTTTAAAACACATTTGAAGAGTCAGAGGCAATCGGTGGCGAGCTAACTCGTCCGGTTTTTCATTTGATTTCTATATCCGTGTGACCTCGAAATCAACTGATATTCACTGTGTTTTCTCCCGTTAGACTATTAATTGTCTCTTTGTATTTTCTTTGCATTTGGACTTTATGTTGACACTCTTACTTGCCTCTGTTAAAAATCGGAAAGATCTTCCCATTTGGCAACTTGGGTAATACCCATAATCCCTTCCACCATCGGACGGAATTATCCGATAAATCAAATTACAGCACAATTGAATATTCGGATAAATTAAATTCCCTGGAATGTCAGAAGATGCAATTATAATCGGTTTCAATTTTCAATCCAAATTGGATTTCAGAAGAGCTGCGACTCTCTGCTCCTTCATTACTAAAAGGGTGTTTTTATTTAATTTAATTTATGATAAAAAATTTAGCTTTAATTGAAGTGCTTGCCATTAGGTTTTCAAAATGATTTCGGACAAGTGACCGTCGCGGAGGGTGCCAATAAATTCCCAATCGAGAGGCTCAACTTTTGACCACTTTCGCAGCAATCGAAGCGGTATGTCAGCAATAAAGCGTCGAATATATTATTCAAAGCATCAATCGCCTCGGAATCATCTGCGTACACAAGTAACTTTACATAGCCTCCCAACAAAATTAGTTATTTTTTTCTTCATTGGCATAAACACCGCTTAAGCGATTATAGCTGAATCAATGTTAGCGCGCCATTTATCCCTTATTTTCGCTGTTTGGCGCCAGTTGGAAATACCAAGTGAAGCCAGGTCAGTCTCCACCTGATCTTTCCAACCAGCGAATACTGTATCGATAATTTTCAAAACTGGAGGGGTTTCATCCATTCGGACGACACGACATAGCCACCGTAGCCGCTATCTCTTCATTCGCTGAACTACATCAATATCACCGTATAGCTCATACAGCTCATCGTTTCATTGTGTGCGGTATTCACCGTGGCCAACGCCAAAAATAACCTTAAATAGTTCGTAAAACTTTTCTCAATACATTGTGACATCGCCCACGCATCTGCACCATATAGCTGGACTAGTATGATGAGAGACTTTTAGAGTGTGGCTTTCGTTCACCGAGAGAGGACTTTACTTTTTAATAACTTACTCAGTCCAAAGTAGCACTTGAGCACACCAAAAAGAGGCTTTTTGAGGATGTAACGGCCTCTCACCGATGGCTTGTGGATTATCATCTCTCCAAATGTGCCATTTATGCTAATAAAAATATGCAATTTAACAAAAGTGAATTTCATCGTTAAACAAGATTTTCTTGTGGCCACCTCGTTTTGGGTCCTTTCATCGAACGATGGTTTTTCGGCTTCTATTTTTGCACAATTTGGATTTGTTAAGCCCGCAAACCAAGATACTTCTGCGTGAGCTTGTATAAAGTGGATGAGTATAGTTGCATACAATTGTTGCGTGCGACGGCGAATGGACTCTTTCGGAACTTCTTCGATACTCTGCTCTACAGCAGCGATACGGTCTACGGTGCGCACTGTACGGTGTGTCTGAAGAGAGGTGTTATTCCCTAGAATGGATGTGGTGGCGAACCAATCCATGCTTGCTCGAAACACTCACTCTGCTGGGCGATTATGGTGACTGAATATTGCACGCGAACCGAATTTTTTTTTTTTTGGTATTAAATTGCACGATTTTAAAACGTATGTATGTATGTGTGTTCATTATGAAATGGCAAATGGAGTATGAATAAAGTAACAGTTGCAGAAAGGCCAACTCCAAAAAAAGAAAATGATTTAGTTGAACCTAAAAATTGGTCTGTAAAATACAGTTAACTGGTTTCAAAAATTCGTATATTTTCCAACTACAATTTAACCGTCGGCTAAACCACACCTCAAAAATAACGAATAACCAGCGGCAAACTTTTTTTTTTTGCGTCTAAAAACCACTTGAATGAATGAAATAAGCTGTCACGCCACATTCCCAAAATAAACAGCTAACAGTCGTTTATTTCAACGAATAATGCGAATTAAACCATACAATATACAGCAACTGCAATAATAAAATCTAGCACATATACATACATATGTAAAGTATGTATATGTATGTATGTATTTTCGTAAAAGTGCGAGTAATCACATTAAGACTAAATAAAAATGCCACTAAAAGCTCATACACATTTGTTTGGATGTTGTATGTATGTGTGTATGTATGTACATTGGTATATATGCACGCGTGTACGTTTGTATTCGATTGTTTGCCAACGCGCTTATCACCGCCAAAAATATTTCAAGATAAAATTTCTAATTTATAACAATTTCATGCAACACATTAAAGCAGCAGCGCGAACGGTAGCCAAAGCAAGTTAATACCATTTTTACCAAAAAAAAAAAAAAAA